AGTACAGCTGGTCGGAACATTTTCAACTAAATGCGTTTTCCTCAGAAACGGCCTCTCCTCCGAATCAGAATGCTTTGCGGCGCCGTTACTGGTTGTCGACAACATTTCCGACAGAAAGGTTCCCGCGTCCCTGGTGGACTCCCCGCTCGGTTCCAGCGCGAGATCCGACCTGCAAACCTGGCCTGGTGCGCCAAAAAGGGACCGTCGCCAAAACCCCACTTCACAAAAACTCGGCCTGTGTTTTGTTCCGCTGTGAAATGAGAAGAGCTTTCAAAGCTTCGCCGAGCGGCCTGATTGCCCTGCAGCCAGCGTGGTTCCAACGCCTCAAAGCCAATAAACACAAGCCAACGTTTTTAAAATCTCGTGGTTTTTGGAGCCTGACTCATGACTTTTGAGGCTGGTGATCCTGCAGCCGGAGGTACCCCTGTCGTCTGCCCATTCCCATTAACCCCTTCGTTGCCAGCCACCATGCAGCACAGCTTCTCGGCCTTCCACTGGGGTGTTCGCAGAGAGACCCGGAGGTGAGGAGAGGCTGCCTTCTCCCGGCCCGGCTTGCCCTTCCAGGGCAGGGCCGCTAGCGCTGGCTCCCGTTACAGGGCTGGGCCATGCTAATTGCCCCAAACCTATTTCTGTGCCCGTCGCGCTGGTGTCCTGTGTATTGGGTAATTAGCTCTGTAGGCTCAGCAGGAACCAGCGGTGCCCGGGCTCCGGCGGGGGAGGGGATAATTTTTCTGCAGCAATTAGCTACAAACTGAAATTGTCCTTGAAATCCATGTGACTTGAGTGCTCCTGTTTTCACTGCAGCATTTCCCTGCTGGGTCCACCCCCTTGGGGCGTTTCCAGAGAAGCCTTTCTTAGCTCCAGTCTTAGCCTGCCCTGGGAAGAAACACGCGGGCGCCTTCCTCCTGCCAGATTGCTGCTACCCAGTTCCCAGCCGCCGTCCTGCAGCTCTGCCTCCCGGTGCCTCGTTGAACTCCGCGGGTGTCCGGACTGGGCTGCTGGGACGCCCCGTGTATTCAGCACTGATAAACAGGCCTTTTGCTTCCAGCGGGAAGAAGCCATGGCTGGGAACGGACCCAATCGCCACCGTTCTGGAGTGTGCACCTGTGTGTAGTTGCAGGACAATTGTGGGGAGCCTGGGGGTGGATGGGTGATGGGCCACAGGGGCTCCCCAGAAAAGGCCAGGGACGGTCCCTCCAGCAAAGCAGCGTGTGACAGCGAGCTGAAGCACCTCGGAGGCTACTCCTGGAGGTGGAGACCTGTGCTGTCCCCCAGGCCACATGGTGGTTTGTCTGAATCAGGGCCGGCTCCAGGCACCAGCGAAGGAAGCAGGTGCTTGGGGCGGCCAATGGAAAGGGGCGGCACGTCCGGGTCTTCGGCGGCGGGTCCCTCAGTCCCTCTCGGAGGGAAGGACCTGCCGCCGAATTGCCCCGAAGAATGAAGCGGCGCGGTAGAGTTGCTGCCGAAGTGCCGCCGATCGCGGCTTTACCTTTTTTTTCCCCGCTTCGCCGCTTGCGGCGGCAAAAAAGCTGGAGCCAGCCCTGGTCTGAAGACAGGCAAGGCTGCAATGCCCTGTGGCTGAATAGCAGGGCCCGTTTCCCAGCATATGGGCGAGGTGGCAGTGCCCGTTTGCTCCCCTCCAGCTGAGGTGGCAATGCCTGTCCGTGTGGCAATGCCTGTCCGTGTGGCACGCCCGTCTGCACCCGCCCAGAAGAGGGTGCGTGAGCGCAATGGTCACACGTGCACTTGGAGCGCACGGCCTTTACCCCGCAGTGAGGAAGGAATTTTGCTCCAGGGTAGATTGGCAGTAGCCCTGGAGGTTTTTCGCCTTCCTCCGCAGCATAGGGCAGGGGTCGCAAGCTGGAAGATTCTCCGCAACTTGAAGTCTTTAGATCACGATCTGGAGACTTCAACAGCAGAGTTAAGGGAAAGTGGGGGGGTCAACATTTATGGCCTGCATCATGCGGGAGGTCAGACTAGATGACCATATTAGTCCCTTCTGACCTTAAAGTCTATGAGTCTATGAGTCTATGAACACGGAACCCAGCGGATTTCCGCCGCTGCCCGCTTGCCCCTGGAGCTGCCAGCCTGACCCCGTCTCAAGTGGGGCCAACCCCCCATAGAATCCCGCTGACCCCAGGCCTTGTGCCTCTGCCCAGCCGCGGGCGCCCACCCGCTCTCGCTGCTCCCCTGTTTTCACATCAAAGACCCACGACCGTGCTCAGCTGCCCCTTGCCCCCTCCCCCCTCTTTGCACTTTGACACTTGGCCTCCTTGGGGAAAGGCCGACGGTTGGTCGGCACTAGGTGAATCGATAGCGCCGAGACAGTCAATTACCCCGGATGACGCAGCAGCTCCTCAGCCCCTTAGCACAGACTCCGAGACCGGCAGGGCTGGCCCGGACCACCAGGGGTTAGTGAGTCCAGCCCCACACCAAGGCAGGACCGAGGAACCCTAGCCCGGCCCCGACAGGCATCTGTGCAACCATCCAGTGCAGGTCCAGCAAAGCAAGGGCCACGTGGGAGTCCACAGCCCATGCAAGCTCCAGGGCCAGCCCCAGCTCCGTTGCTAGCAGCCTGGGGGCCTCCCTCGTGGTTCGGGACCCTGCAAGATGTCAGCTGGGTCATGCGCCAACCGGGTCCTGAGTGCGGGGTGACTCGGGGTTACAAGATTGCAGCTGGCTCCTGGAGAACAAAAGCCCCCATACAGCAGCACCCCCACGTCTGCCCACTGGAGCCAACAGGCCGCGCATCAGTGCTGGGCCAAGGCGCTGAATCGGGGGCAGATTCAGCTCCCTCTTGACGCCGGGTGACTCCACTGACTGAAGTGTCTTTAAGCCTCCATGGCTGGGCCCCGGCTGCATCCTGTCTCTGGAGACTATCCCTCCTCTGTCTGCACCGCCAGGGAGGCCCCCACCCGACCGAGGTCACGGCCTCGCTCCTCTCATGAATATGCATCATGCCCTTCTGCCACCGTCACCTCTGATCCCACTGTCAGGGCTAACAAATGTCTTCATCGGCGCCCAGGAAATATGGTGTGTGTGTGGGGGGGGGTGTCTTTGTTCCCAGCGAGAATGAGCTGACCTCCTCTGCCGCAGCCTCCCACCCCAGCCGCCTGTGACCCCCAAGAGCAGCTGGGGGCCTGGTGCTACAGAGCCTGGTCCCTCTGGTGTCACCTTCTCCAGCCAGCCCAGGTTGGGGGGCATGGAGGGATTGTGGCTGCAGGCTGAGAGCTGCAAATGACGTGGGTGCATCTCAGTCCAATTTCGAGTAGGCAAGGCAGGCAGAGAGGCCGGGGAGCTGCGTTGTGCTCGACGGGGTCGGGCGTGGCAGGGCAGGGTGGGGAAGGCTGCATTGCTTTGTGCCTACGGGTGTCATTCTCCTGGGCTGTCCTGGTAATGCCCAAATTTCCTGTCTAACCCACTGCCTCCTCGCCGCAGCCCCCTGTGCAGCAGCCCCCTTCTCGCCAGCTCTGCCTCCGATCGCCCTGCCCTGGGCTCTGCGCTGCGCTGGGGACACAGTCAGAATGAGGGACGCCGTGCAGATCCCAGGCCAGCGACAACACCCGATTTCCGCTCCGGCTGCCGGGCCGGGGGAGGCGGGTTTCCTCTCTCCGCCAGACCGATCCGTCCTGGGTGCAGTCAGGGCGGCGAGTGACGGATCACCCAGGCGCTGGTGCAATGCAGGGGCAGGCGGGGCAGCCGCTCTCACTGCTCAGCGTCAGTGAAGGGCCTGTTAGAAACCGCTGCACAGAGCGGGGTCAGGCCGAAGGGGGGCTTGCTTTGAGCAGCCGTGGGTCCAGGGCGATCGGCTGGTCCAGGCTCGGCGCTGCTATTAAACTGCGCCAGGCACACATCAACTCCCTGGCCTCAAGAGTGATCGCTGCTGCTCCTGGCGCGGTGGGCACGCTGATCAATGGATCGAAAGGATTCCCTGCTTCCTCCCCCCTCCCCAAGCTGCTAGTCACATGACTCCACTGCACATATTCTAGTGGCTCTTTCCACAATCCGACTAACACATCCTGCCCTTCCGATGGAACATGGGAGCGAGACAGTGCCTGGGAGAGACAGATGCTGCTCTGCTCACGAGCCCCTGCCTGACCTGCTCAGTGCTGGCTGGGAGCTCACTGTGCAGGTCGGAGCTCGCCTTGCCCAAAGGCCATGGCAGACGTCAAAGCCGCTGCGGGCTGCAGAAACCTCATGGCCCACAGCTGAACAGGAGCAGAACTGGGGGGGACTGGCCCTGGACTCCTCCTCAGCTCTCGGCCTCGACAAGATCTTGTGGCAGAGAGTTCCACAGGATAATTGTGCATGATGTGTAACAGCTGGATCAGTTACCAAATGCAGCTGAGTTCAGCGAGGGCCTCCCCTCTATGCTGCTCTGTCGGAGGCTACAAGACCGTGCTCCCCTGAGAAGGTCTGGGCCCCGTGCTCGGGCCGCACTTGGCTTTGAGGCTCCCCCAGTCGATTTCCATTGCTGGGCTCCCCCAGGGCAGAGAGGCTCCATGTTGTGTGCAGAGGCGCCCTCCGCTGGCTCTTTGCTGGCACTGCAGGTCTGTGCTGGGATAGGTGTGAATGCGGAAAGCGCCCGGCTCCATTCAGAGAAGGTCAGAACTTTCCTGTTCCCATTCCCACCCCCTGCCACCCCTAGGAGAGGCCCAGGGCAAAGGAGCTGTGTATTTTCTTACAGAAGGGACTGGAGTCCAGCAACCCCTTGTCTCTAACGATGCCCAGAAAAGAAGATGGTGATCTCCGGGCCCGGCGTTAAGGATGGAGCTGGAGAATCTGCCATGCCAGGCGTTCCCCTGGGCAGCTGAGAGGGAACATTGATGGGAGTCTGTAACAGAGGACGTGCAAAGAGCAGCCCAGCTAGACGCAGACAGCTCAGCCTCGTCCGTGCCCTCGCGGATGGATGTCGGAAGGCACAGGGAAGAGTCCCATTCGGACTGGAGATCTCTTTATTGAGTGACTTCCTCTCCACGCAAATGCCACAGCCCCTGGGCCCAGCATGGACCAAAACCCGACCCAATTCACCTGTACAGCCCCCCGCTATTAACCCCTTCCTGATCAGCACCGAGAATAAACCTCCCAAGCGCTAACCTCCCCCCAACGCTTGGCCCAGTGGCAGCAGCAGCTCTCTGTGTGTGGGAAACCAGGACAGGCCGGGGGGCATCGGCACAGCTGTGTGTGGGGAGCCCAGGGCTGGGCTAGCAGGGGGCCGCGGGTTGTGATTTATGAGCAATAAACTCAACCAACAGAAGACCCCCCTGCTCCCAGCTCCCCATGGATTGGAGAGGCGACCCCGGGCCCTGCCAGCTGGTCTCCCCCTGCACGCCCACGGGAGGGACTCGGCCACCCCCACTGCCCGCCGTGGCTCTGCCCTAGATGCAGGTCTCGCTGCCGGCCGCGGCCACGCGCCGCTCTTCCAGCCTTTGCACGGCCTGCGTGAGCGAGCGCAGCTGCTCCCTGTGCCGCTCGCCCATCGCGCCCATCTGGGCCTCCAGCCTCCGCAGCTGAGCCTCCTGCTTCCTCCTGGCATTCCTGTAGGCCAGCACCAGGGCGCTGCGGAGAGAGGCGGGCTCAGGGGCAGGGACTTGGCTCGCGGGAGGGGGCAGGAGAGGGAAGCTGCTCCCGGATCAGCTGGGGGGGGGGAGAGCACAGGGGGGTGCAGAGCTCGGGACAGGCTCAGAGAAGCCCCTGGGGTGATTCTGGGCCTTAGCCAAAGTGCAACTAAACCCCTCCGCTGGGCACACATGGACTGGCAATCTCACCCAAATGGCCTGTTGCAGACAGAGCTGCCTAGCAGGGGGCTGGGAGCCAGACTCGTGGCCCTGGGGTCTACCCCGAGCTCTGGGAGGGGAGTATGGTCGAGTGGGTTAGAGCAGGGGGCTAGGAGCCAGGACTCCTGGGTTCTACCCCTGGCCCTGGGAGGGGAGTGGGGCCCAGTGGTTAGAGCAGGGGCCTGGGAGCCAGGACTCCTGGGGTCTCTCCCCAGCTCTTTTGCAGACGCCCTGTGCGACCTCGCCTCCATTCCCACAGAGATCTGGGCTCGGCCCTTGTCTTTACCAAGCACTGGGAGCCGTTCACCAGGTTGCTGCCTCGGTCCTTTCCCCTCGGGGCGCGTTGCCCCAACTGGCACCTGCAGGCACCGGACAAAGAGCTCCCAGGCCGGGCTGCAGCCCCAGGAGAGTGGCAGGAGGGAGCCCTGGGAGAGTCTGGCCTCAGGCGGGGGGTGCAGGGACTCCCAGCGGGGCCTTGGGGGGTGAGCGCCAGGATTCTCCATCCCCACCTGTGAGCCTGGAAGAAGTCTCTGGTGATCCCGACGCACTGGGCCTGCTGCGCCCGGCTGGCCGCGCTGCGCTGCTCCAGGGAGGCCGCCAGGGCCTGGGCCTGGCCCCTCAGCTCCCTGCTCCTGCCACGGAAACAAAGGCTTGACGGAGGATGCCACAGATCCCGTGGAGAGGGGAGCCCCCCTGCCCCCCACACTGAGACTGGATCTCCCCCTGCCCCCTCGCCCGAGATGGGATCCCCCCTCCCCCCAGCCCCTGGCTGAGTCTCCAGCTGTGGGGCGCTGCACTCCGCCCAAGATCTTTCCACTCTGTGCCCCCCAGCCGGGCAGGGCCCCCGATTCCTCCCCCCAGCCTGCGGCCCCCGTGCAGTCAGTGACGCTGCCAGGGCTGGGAGGGGGATGTTGGGGACATGGGGCTCCCCACGGAGGGAGGGGGGTGCTCACCGGGCCAGCGCCCCGACCAGCTCCAGCATCATCGTCTCCCGATCCAGGGCAGCCTGGGGTCTCGCCGCTTCTGCCTCCCGTCTCCCGACGTCCTGGAGAAACCCAAGAACATCCCTGAGCGCCCCCGGCACCGCGCAGCGGCTGCTGGGACGGGCCCCGGGGGCACCTGACAAACCCAGCTCACAACCTCCCCGTCAGCTGGGCTCAGAACCCGCCGGCGCCCCACCCCCGGGAGGGACATCGAGGTCACAACGGCCTCTCGGCTCCTTGTGAACCCAGCAGAGGCACCGATTTTCACCTGGAGCCTCCTTGCGGGGCCCCCCACCCTGTCCCCCAAGCGGGGCAGATCCCCCCCTCCGTGGGGCCATTTACACCAATGCACAATGGATGTGAAACGCCCAAGTCGGGGCAGAGCTGCTCTCCCTTTGGGGTCCGGGGCTGTCTCGTGGGCCAGGCCCCAGGGAGTTTCCTTTTTGTTCCTGCGTTTCCCTGGCCACCTCCAGGTACCCGCCTCTGCCTCGGGGCCCAGACGGGTGGGGCTGCCGTCCAGCTGACCGAGCCTGTGTCTGCAGGCGGGAGGGCGGCGCCCAGCCCCTGACGTACCCCGCGGCAGCTGCTGCAACTGCTGCTGTCTCCGCTGCTGCTGCTCCCGGAGCTGGGGCGCCGGCCCCGCTGCTCGGCCAGCTCCCCCTGCAGGTGCTCGATGAGCAGCAGGTGGGCGGCCTCCTGCGCCCGGTGCGTGTAGGTGCAGAGCTCCAGGCCTCGTGTCTCCTTCTCCGCCAGGTGCAGCCGGGTCTTCAGATCCGCCATTGACTCCTGGGGCCAGAGGGAGGCGCTGTCAGGGAGGCAGCAGCGAGCGGCTGGCCCTGGGCCCTGGCGGGCTCCGGCTCCCCAGGCCTGGCCCCTCCGGCCCGAGCTAAACGCAGGGTCCCAATAGCTGCAGCAAATCTCCCGGCTCGTGTCCCTCTGCAGGGAGCAGCCACAAGAGGGTCCCGCGCGCTTGACAATCCCGCCACTAGAGAGCCACATGCCCCACGTGTTGTGCTCCCCCAGCCCCTCACCCCACCCTCTGGGCTCCCGTTATGGCCTGCTCAGTTACTCCAGTAATAATATTTCACAAACAGTAACCAAGCCTCACAGCCCTCTGGGTCCCTGATTTACAGTGAGGGAAACTGAGGCACTGTGTGTGGGGGGGTGAATTGCCCAAGGTCACCCAGCAGGTCTGTGGCAGAGCCAGAAATAGAACCCAGGAGTCCTGACACACATACACACACATACACACACACACACACATACACACACACACACTCTAGCCACCAGACCTCTCTCCCCTCCCCAAGCCAAAAACAAATCCCAGAAGTCCAGCTCCCCCCAACCCCGACCTGGCTCTAATCAGTAGGCTGCACTCCCCTCCCAGAGCCAGGAACAGAACCCCGGAGTCCTGGCTCCCCGCCCTGCACTCTGGCCGCTAGCCCAGGCCGCCTTGCCCCGTGCCTACCCTGCTGGCCACTAAGTCGTGCAGCAGCTGTGGCTTCTCCATCTTTGGACTTGGTGTCTCCCCAGGCAGGACCCCGCCTGCGACCCTGACAGCCTCGTCCACCATGGCCTTGATGGCGTCGTTACTCTGGATCACGGCACCGACGGAACCAGGCGCCGCCTGGCAGCCCAGATCCAGCAGGGAGACCTCCACGGAGGCCTGCTCCGCCCGCAGCCGCCGGATGTACTCGTACAGGATCCCCTCCTCTGCTCCCCCGGGCGCCTGGGCCCTGGGGCTGGGGGCGCTGCTGGGACGGAGAGGTGTCGAGAAGAGCAGGCTGGGAGAAGGGGGTGGAGGGGGCCCAACAGCCCTTGGACCTGGGTTCGGGGCTCAGGGTCCCTCCCATCCCTGGCATGGGGGCGGGGGGCAGGGTTCTGGGGTAGGAGGCTGCTGGTCCCATCCCCTGGGACTGGGGGGGCTCAGAGTCCCATCCCATTGGATGGGGGGCGCTCTGGGGCTCAGGGTCCCATCTTCCGGGGTTGGAGGCTGCTGGACTCATCACCTGGACTGGGGGCTCGGGGTCCCATCCCCCAGGGCTCAGATCAGAGTCTTGGGGCCCCTTTCAGAAGCCTGCAGCCCTGCTCCCTTGACAACCCTCCCATAGGAGCTCTGCTACCTTTTCCATCCATGGGTCCCGGCAGCCCCGTCCTGCCCTGACCCGGCCTCCTCGCCCTCGGGCTCCGCTCTCCCCAGGAACCTCCTGGCCTCGTCCAGCACGGCCCCCGTCCTGCCGCCCGGGCTATTGGGGGCGCGCGCCCCGGGCTCTCCTAGAGCAGGGAACAAACTCATGCTGGTGCGTCCTCGGCAGGCAGGACCCCCCGCTCCTGGCCGGGATGGAGCCCGGGGCAGAGCCGGGCACATGGCAGCCGGTTCCCCCCTCACCCCTGGGGGCGCCGTGGAGCGATGGGCTCCCCCCACCCATCCCTGAGCTGCCAACCCCACAGCGAGGGGCGTTTGGTGGCTGCGGGGCCAGAGGGGACCAGTTGCAAGGACTCACCTTTGTCCAGGGCGTCTCCCTCCTCCTCTGGCTCCTGCCAGGGCCCCAGCTTCACCCCGGCCAGGGGCAGCAGCACCTCGTAGGCCTCCATGCAGCGCTCGCTGCCGGGCCGAGCACAGAGAGCAGCCTGAGAGTTGGCGGGGCCCCCAGCCCCTTGTAACCCCTCCTGAGCCCCCCCCCACGCTCCTTCCCAACACCGGGAGCCCCCCGTACCCCTGCCCCTCCCACACAGTCCATTCCCCCTCCCAACCAAGCTCCGCCCCCTCTCCCCGTGCGGGGATCCCAGAGCGGGTCTCGGGGCCGGGCCCCTCACCTGTACTGCGCGGCCAGGCGCAGGGCCGTGCTGTTGGACTCGTGCTGTCCCAGCCCCATGCTGAGCCGCTCCGAGTGGCCCTTCCACTCCCGCAGGGTCCCCGAGAGCAGCTGGTTCAGGCCTTTGAGCCGCTCGATGCACCTGGGGCGAGAGGCGCGGCGCTGACGGGGCAGGGCTGGCTCCCGGGGGAGTCCAGGGAAGGGCCGGTTTATAACCCACCCGGCTCTTCCGCATCCCCGAGCGATGCCCAGACAAATACACCTCCCGCGCTATCCACACATCCTCCTCCCACAGGGACCCTCGCCACCCGTCAATGCAACTCTGGAACCAGCCCCAGGGGGCGCCACTGGACACCCTCCAGCCCTCCCCAGCCCGGAAATTCAGCCCAGGAGGAGGATGTGCCAAATACTGGGGCCATGGTGGCATTTCATTGCACCGTCCTCGGGGAGGGGGGGCGGGAAGGGGTTGCCCATTATAGCTTTGGACGTGAGAGTCTGCTTAATGCAGGGGACTAGGAGTCAGGACTCCTGGGTTCTATTCCTGCTTTGGGAGGGGAGTGGGGTCCAGCGTTTAGTGCAGGGGAGGGGGGTCAGGACTCCTGGGTTCTATTCCCGCTTTGGGAGGGGAGTGGGGTCCAGCGTTTAGTGCAAGGGAGGGGGGTCAGGGGTTCTATTCCTGGCTCTTCTATTCCAGACTTCCTGTGTGACTTTGGGTGAGTCACTTCCCCTTTCCGTGCCTCAGTTTCCCCTGTCTGTGCCGGGGAGGATGATCACACTCATTGGTGGGGAGGGGCCTGGTGCGAGGCTGCCCTGTCCAACGTGTAAAGTGCTTGGCGATCCTCTGCCCTCACCCTCGCAGCTGCTGGGTCCGAGCTTCCCACTCCCTGACGTGGCTCTCCGACGCCGGGGGGCGGTGCTGGGGGAACAGGCGGCAGAGGTGCTGGGTGCTGGAGCAGCTCTGAAAGCACCGGATCAGGCTCTGGGCCGCGGCAACTGGGTCCTGCAGAGGGCGCCAGCGGGGACGACAAACAAAGGAATGAGTCTGTGCCTGGCGGAGGCTGCGGGTGGATGTTAACCACGCCCTGCAGGACGGCCACGGGCCTGGGGGCTGGGATAGGGGCCCGCGGGTGCTAGTCGAAATGACACCCAGGGTGGGGCATTAACAAAGCTGCGGTTAAACACCGCAGCAGGGATGGAGCAGCCCTGCTGAAAGCTGGTGTGACAATCCACAGCCACCTGGGACCTGTGGCCACAGCCACCAGTGGAGACTGGCCCAGCCCTCTCTCAGCTGAGCCGAAGGAGTAAATCCCCTGGCTGTGAGAAGCTGGCTGTTGTAGTCGCTCCGGCCAGCTCTGGAGGGAGACATGGCCACACGCCCGCAGCCCGTGTATTACACCCCCTTGGCTCCTTGCCTGTGGCAGGTGATGCACGCAGCCGGGCCTGATCCAAACGCCCTGCGGTCAGCTGGGGAGTCTCTCCATTGGCTGCAGGGGGCTTTGGAGCAGGCCCGCCGCTGGCTGGCAGCTGCTCGTCCCTGTCTACGGGTCGTTCCCGGCTCTGAGCTCGGCACCCACGTAACCCAGCAGCCTGGGGAGCCGCGGCCCGGCCGGCCTCCTGACCCCTGCAGTGAGCAGGACCTAGCGGGATGGGATGGAGAAGCAGCACTGAGACCTGGGCCAGCCCCTGGCGCTGCACTCACCTGGAATGGCCAGGGCTCCCCTTCCCCGCCGGGGCTGACGGACCCCCTGGTGCTGACAGTGTCACTGGCGGATGCTGAGGGGCTGCAGGGCTGGGACGGCGTCTCCATCCTGAGCAGCGAGTCCTGTAGCTCCTTGACCTGGGCAGAGAGCGGAACGCATCACTCACCTCCCGGCTGCTGCACAAGGGCGACCGGAGTAGCTCCATGGAAGTGAGGGGTGTGAGTCTGGATTGCACCAGCGGCACAGAGATCAGACTGATTCTGACAGCACTTTCCCCGCAGGGGAAGCGGTGGGATCCCCCAGGAAATTAACAAGCCGAGTCCATATAGATCCCAGAGCTTGTGAAACCGAGGTCCTCGCATCCCAACATGGACCCTGTGAAATCTCTCCCTCCTTCAGTGCCCCGTCACCCAGCCACCTTCCAGCAGGCTGAGCAGAACCCTGCTTCCTGGGGCCCAAGAGCTCCATTCCCAGGGTGAGTGGCCCAGCCCTTCATCCTCCCGAGGCAGGTCATGTGACTCCCATGCTTTTTGCCACAAGATGAGAAATCACGGATTCGATGAATCAGAAGGGGTGTGTGGAACAAAACGGCTACAAACACACAGGCTTCCCCACAGCTTGAGTTCTAGCTTTGTCTGCTTTGTTTACCAGGGAGCACCCCCACCCCACATAGAACGCTGCACAGCACTCAGTGACATCTAGTGGCCGAATAAAATACAGCAAATAAAAAGGTCACCTGTGTGGCTGGGTGCTTGGGGTGGTCGGGTTGAGACCTTCCCAAATGAGGTCCTGCCTGCTCTGCATGGACAGTAAAACATCCATTGCACTAGTCAGAAGACCTGAACCTACCACCCCTGGCCAAAAGTCTCTTTTCCCGCAGTGTGCAGTGCTGCTGCCCTGCCCCCGGAGGTGGCTGCGTGTCAGTGGCAGGGGAGCCATCACCGCTGTCATGCATACCTTTCTCTGGAGCTTCTCCCGTTCCTCCTGGAATGCTTGCAGGGTGACCTTGGACCTGCTTAGCTCCTCCTCCTTGCTCCCTAGCGCCACCCGGACAGCCGTGTTCCTCTCTGCGTATGCAGCTATTTCATTCTTGATCCAGCTCATGTTCTCTGCTTCGAGCCCTGGGCTGGCCTCGCTCGTCTTCTCCCCCGGCGCCCTGGGTGCTGCCTTCCAGGGACAGCTCCCGTTGTCCTCCGGGAGTCCCGCAAGACCCCCCAGGCCTCGTTCTACCTCTTCCAGGGTCTGGAAATGCAACCCCCACCCCCATAACAGTCACCCACCAAAGCTACAGTCACTGCATCATGCCAGGAGTTCAGAGCTCTCCCTAAGTCACCTGTCACCTTGGTATCTAGGCTTCATTGCATCCACACCACCTCTGGTTCCAGGCAATTTAAACACAAACCTCCAAGCTCAGGGGACTGGCTGGCTCAGGGGGGCGGGGAATGGGACAAGGGGCCTTTCCCCTCTAGGGAGGACTGGCCAGGCCCCAGAGAACCTGCTGCCCCCCCCAGGGGGTCTGGGCAGGACAGAGCTGGGGCCCAGTGCCAGGGCAGGTCGGGGTCGCTGCACAGGGAAGGCAAACCCCGCCTGTCCCAGCGTGGGGCGGCTGAGAGCCCAGGGCAGGCATTCGGAAGGGAGAGGGGAGGGGGGCGGTTAAGAAAGTGGGGGAAGGGAGGTCTGCTCACCTTGGCTATCTGGGCCCACTCCTCCCCCGCCGTGCTGGGGCCGCCTGCGCCCGTCTCCCCACCAGCGCTGCCAAGCAGCCGAGCACGGCTCCGCCGGGAGAATACGGCGTTCTCCAGAGAGGCCACAGCCTGCTGCAGATCTAGGAACACGTCGGAGCTGCCTCCTAGCGGGGGAGAGACGGGGACGAGTCGGGGGGAGGCCCGGTGGGGCTCGTGCCCCTTCCATCCTCGGGGATCTGGGCTGCATCCCAGAGGGGCTGCCGTAAAGAGGGACAGACCCAGCAGCGCGGGCAACGGCCGTGGCTCCTCTCAGTGCACAAGGGGATGGAGTTCTCGGCACCACACAACACCTACCGCCTGCATGGATTTAGCAGCAGGCCCATCGCCGGAGCACGGGGCAGGAAGAGAGGGGCCCATGAGTCTGTACCACCAGGAAGCAGCTGGCAGGCTTTGCCCCGCGGCCATGGCATCCCTGGGTTCACCCCCTTCGATCATGGCAGCCCCATCCCGCTTCCCCCCAGCTCCGCAGGCCTGTGCACCGTTGCCTCGGGCCCTCGTTGCAGTGACCCAGGTGGGCCAAGGCAACGCGGCAGCATCCCGACGGGACGAACACAGGGGGCGGCGACCCTGGCTGGGGATGGCTTCCATACACAATAGCCAGCCTGCCCCTTCTGGGCCCCCGGATCTGTCAGGAACCTGAGCACGGGGGAGCCGGCTCTGGTGAGAACGGGGCCCCTGGCGAGATGAAACCCTTTCAGTGATAATAAACCTTGTCAAGAGCTCTTCCTCCAGCGATCTCAAAGTACTTGACATAGCAGGGGTGGTATAATTTTCCTCATTTCACAGCTGGGGAAACTGAGGCATGGAGGGGGGAAGTGACTTGCCCTGGGTCACTCAGTAGGCCAGTGGCAGAGGCGGGAATAGAACCCAGAAGACCTGGGTCTACCCACTAGACCTCATTGCCTCCAAAAGGCATGGGATAGCTTGGCGCAGAATATAATGAACCCCCTTTACCTTCCTCCGTGCAGCCCATGGGGAACGGACGGATGGCCAAGCTCCGGGGCCTCTGCACACACCTGGGAAGGCTTGCTGTGTATTCGGAGCACTGGTCTGAATACTCATCTTCCTCTCTGCAGGAAATCAAAGCCAGAGGATGGCCAGGGAGAGAGTGGTCAACTCCACTTCCCCCGGGGACATGGCAAAGGGGGCAGCTGATGTGAGACAGCTGAGTTCCAGGTGTGAGTCTAACCACCTGAAACCAGCCCTCTAAAACACCAATATTTTGCTGCCAGATTAATATTATGCCACTGAGCAACAGTGACATCTAGTGAGCACATGCATTAATAGCAAGCGTCTCTTCCCAGAGCCTTGCAAAATTAGAATCGTTTTCATGGGTGAGTAAAATATCAGGAGTTTTTTCATCATCATGGGACAGGAGGACAAGAAAAATGTGGCTCTGAGCCCGTAAATGTTCATGACACTTGGACAGGCCTGATCGAAAGCGGGGGGTTAGAAAGTTCCTGTCTTTTTTCCCCCGGGCTGCAGGGAAAGAAGAAGAACACAAAGTCTCGGGTAGATGAAGCCAGGCAGGTCAGACCACAGCAGCCAGTCCATAGCCTTTAAAGGAGACCATGTTTTCAGCTAAAGAATCAGACGCACAGATACCATGGTGACGGGCTGCGTACGAGACCCGGAATAGAATAGACTACAATAGATGACCACGAGCATCTTTGCTACAAGCTGTACCCAGAACTGCTTCACAGAGTTATCTGGTCCAGAGTAGCAAAGGGTCAGAGAAACGGAGGGCTACCAGGAGGCGTGGGGGTTTTCGGATGTGAATGAGAGTTGATGAAGTGGCGACGCTGTTCCCGATGGCAGAGGAGAAGGCTCTCGCGCCCCAGCGGAGGAGCTAGGACGGACCAAAAGGGAGCTATTGCTCTGAGGGAGAAGGGGAGTCGAGAGAGAGGCCAGGTCTCCGGCACAGGCTGGAGGGTAATTTTGAACTGGCCCCTGGAGCGAACAGAGTCGGGGAGGGTTTGAATACGGAGTGGAAGTGGGTGTGGGAGAAGGGGAGAGGCAGGACACTGGGGAGTGGGGCTGAAAGGAGGCCACAGAGCATGCCATCGGCAGGGCGAGAGGAGGCGAAGGCCTGGGCAAGGATTCATGGGCAATCAGTCCCAGGCCCAGCGCGGCTGTATCAACCCCAGTCCTGCGCTACCAACAGAAACTGAACCTGTGACAAGCAGGGCAGGTACCTGGTTCTCCTCTGCTGCAGCCGCTCGGCCTTGCTGTGGAGCTGGGCGATGGTGACGAGCAGTGTGGTGATGTGCTCCTCATAGCGCAGGATTGCCCGCTCGTCCGCCCCTGCTACGTCGGCCTCCTCCTCCCTCTCGGAGATTGAGTCCAGCTCGCCCTGCAGAGAACCCCGCCCAGAGAACCCCGGACATCTCAGGCTCCTTCCATGCCAAAGGATCTGAGAGCCCTGTACCGACCCCGGCCCTGACACCAGTGCAAAGCGCTACATTCGGATTCAGCAGCGTTTCCCAGTCACTTTGCACGGTAAACAACAGCACCGGGGGCAGGGCCACAGAGAATCGGGCCAAGAGGGCACCCACCCACCAGTGAATTGCTAAAGCAGTCAGCTCTGGTGTGGAACACATCAGCCAGTCTGAACTAGCCGCACGACACAGCAATTTCTAGGACAGGAAGTAAAGAGTATGGTGGCCAGATGAAAGGTTTCAGGGAGACAGAAGGCCCCAAGTATGCAAAAGTCATGAACCAATCTCCCAATAATCCAGACACTGGTTTAAAAATCCTGAGATTTTACAAGTGAAACATTGGGGGTGTTTTATTCACCTTTCAGGTTTTGAACCTTTGGGGGTCACATTTTCAAGCTTTTCTCCACAGCCAGGAGGGCTGGGATCTGACTTTAAAAAAAATGGAAGCTGAAATTCTCCCATAATCACCTGACTCCAGCAGCTGGGGCTTTAAGGGGGAAAAAACAGCAAAATGACAAGAGTGTGTATTGGAATGGGGCCAGGACACTAGAGGATGGGGGGTAACCCCCTAAGTCCTGCCAAGGGTGGCATAGGATCTTTATTGACCACACAGGCTCGGGATGCCTGTTTCACACCTCAGCACCCCCATCATCATCGGCACCACTCACTCAGCGCCGTGGTGCAGCTACAGCTCCCCCCCCTCCAAGCAGCCTGGCTTTGGAAGCTGGACTAGGGAGATGCCACTCCTCCTGTGGGGTGAAATTCCCCCTGGGTAGAGAGGCCAGCCTGTGACCTCAGCAGCACGTCAATCCCGTTACACCCTATGCGAGGAATAAGCGGCTCCTGGTTACTCTCCATGCCTCTGCGGCTGGTGCTTTTACACGCCATGCCGTGCCCACCTGCAGCTTCCCGCCTGCGCCCCCTTTGGGCTGAGGGGGCAGTGCAGCCTCCATGGGTCGGTAGGCAGCGGGTTTGTTAGCATCCCATTCCCAGCCAGCACGGAACCAGGAAAGGCTGGAGCCGCTTCCTGTTTTCAGTGGGAACAATGTCCTCCCTGCAGCAGCACGGGGTTAGCGCCCTGGTGCCTAGCGTGAGCAGGGAGCCCTCCACCACCCTGGGCCAGCGCCCCCCACCGCACACCCTGGGCATGCTGGGTACCCTGGCGCTCCTGGGAAGTACACACTGCTCGCTCTCGGGCCCTTTCCCCAGGGCCGTACAGGATCCCGGGGGCTGGGGGGGGGGGGTCCTGCCGCGTGAGGGTAGGATTTCTGGAGCTGCATGCCCATGCGATGCCGCGCTCCTCCTGCAACCCCACGTGCGACTGGCTTGTGAGGAGCAGGGCTAGGACTGCCAGTCCCACCCGTGGATCTGCTAGCCATTCCCCCCTCCCTGGGGATCGGTCTGTTCCCTGCGGGCTCCTGATAGGCTGGGAGAGCCAGACAGGGGCCCAGGGCGCCTTGTCCTTCCCCACTGCAGAGCAGCACAGCAAGTCTAAACCCTGCCCCCTCCCCAGAGGTGGCTCTCTCACGGGGGGGGGAGGCCGAGAGCAATTGCAAAGCCAAGCCAGACCCATAACCCCCCTGCCTGCAAGGAGAGGCTCCCTTGTCCAGGCCCCCCAGGAGGAAGCCACTTGCCTTCTCCATCCCTGTTCCTTTGCCCCTCTCTCCTTCCGCACGAGAGGAGTCACGTCTGAGGAAGCAGCAGGGTCCTATCGCTGTGGTGAGAAAAGACAGGGGAGAAAATCAGGCAACACCATCGCGTTTAGAAGCCCCTTCTCAGCAGCTGCGCTCCAAGACCCGCAGCCCAGCCACCTATCAGACCATCCCAGTGCGAGGAGCATATGGCTCTGCCAGGATGTCCCCGCCGTCTGTGCTGCTTCCCGGCCCATTCCCATTTCCCGATCCTGTGTATATTTCCTCTCCCTTGTGAAACTTGGCTGCAGGCGCGGCCTCCGGCTCTGTTGCCCTTTAACTCTTACGCGTCCCATAGACAGGAAGGTAGAGCTGGTTCTGCCCTGCCCTTTGCCTTCACTACAGCCGAATGAAACGTAAGCCTCTCTCTGGACCCAGAGGAAAGTGTTCGAAAGATCCTGCAGGTTGGAAGGTAGCTGGGATAGTTATAGTGTCCTGCATTGGTTGTGGCCAGAGCCCTGCCCTGCCTGACAGGGGTGTGAGGCGCTCAGTCACGGAGGCCAGATAAGTGTCTAGACAGAGGGCTGGGTCTGTCACGTCTGAGACCCCTTCAAGTGGTGCAGCCAAGGGTATGTCTGCACTATGGAGCCTATGTCGGCAAAGCTCCCGCGTGTGGCTGCAGCCTAGGCTGGCTGAAGGAGTTTTTCTGTCGGTGTAGGAAGCCCATCTCCCCGGACAACGTTAGCTACACTGACAGAGGCCCTGTTCCGTTGGCCCAGCTGGGGTTTGTCCCCACCCTGACGGACGTAGTCATGCCGACAGACTTTTCAGTGTGGACCATGCCTCAGGCCAAGTCTGCACTAAAAAGTGAGGTCGACCCAGCTACGTCACTGGGGGTGTGTGTGTAAAATCCACACGCCCTGAGAGACATCGCTACGCCGAGCGAACCCCCTGCAAAGCCTCCTGTCGACCTAGCTACTGGCCCTCCTGTCGCTGTGGTGAGTGCCACAGCTGCAGCGTTTCTAGTGAAGGCATAGTTTGGGATTTGATACGAGACGCCTGTCCCAGAGCACTGGCTACGCTGGAAGGCATGTTATTCTTTGGATTTTGCCATGGCCCCCGGGAGTCCCAGTCATGGCCCAGGCACCCATTGTGCTAGGGGCTGTACAAACACAGAACAAACGATCCCTGCCCCCAGCGGGTATTGACCACAAGCTGAAGTTTATGGCTGTCTGCAAATTAGCCGGTGGAATAATGTACATACAATGGCACCTAGGGAGCTGGGAAGAACTTGGTAACCACCCGTGTTGTGGGTGGGGGAGAGGATTTAGGGCTATATGCAAATTTGAGAAAATATGCATGTCAGAGATATGCAAATAGACATGCAACTTCTGATGCGCCACGAGGGTCGGTCTGTGCATGGGGGGGTGATTGGCGAGCACAAGGAGTGGGGGAGGGGCTGGGTTCGCCACTGGC